GTGCTAGATTTTGTACTCTTATTTACTCGGGAGACTCCAATCTGCCTGGGGTAGGTGCTGAGGGCCGGTCGTGGGAACATTATCCACTTTCCCTCTCTGCCTTTAAGAGGCCTGAAGTGGGGTCTAGGCCCTGCTCCAAATGAGATGACAGACTTTGAAGATCCCCCATGGAAGGCCTCACCCTCCTTGGGGAGCAGAAAGGTGATAGGATAGGGAGTAGGTGGGGGGGACAGGAGAGGAGGGGAGGGAGAGAGGGAACTGGGATTGACATGTAAAACAAGCTTGTTTCTAATCTAGAGAGAGAAAGAGAGAGAGAGAAAGAGAGAGAAAGAGAGAGAGAGAGAACCTGAAGTCATTGAATGCCCTAAAAGGCATAGTGTTGAGCCATTTGAGGCTCAATTACTTACAGAAAGCCTTTTGGAGAACCCAGTTGTAGAGGGAGAAAGAAGCACAATTTACTACTGCCCAGGGACTATCTGCCCCTGTAGGAGACTAACCAAGTGATACAGTCTGGAGGTCCTGATCGGGTTCATTTTCTCTGCCAGCTAAAGAATTAAAGACAGGAGAAATCTGGAACTCAACAGGTGGTAGTAGAAATATCTCAACATGGAAGACAGAATCAGCAGTTGCAGAAAAGTGTTTATTGGGAGTGAGGAAATGCACACATGCAAACAGACACAAAGAGAAAGACCCTCTTGCAAAGTAGATCAGGGGGGCACTCAGAGAGCCTAAAAATCCAGACTCTTCAGGAGAGCTGGGATTTCAAAGACTCTAAGGGTCTTACTCCCCTGATTTAGGATTAGCCAGTTTGAAGAAAGCTTGGATGGTTGATTGGCCCAGAACTGTCGTATGGCATGTCCTGATCAGGCCTTGAAATTGTTGAACCAGGGATCTGCTGGTGGGAGACAAAACCGGGGGTCCCTGCAAGCTCTGCTACCAGCAGAGAAAGATCCCATGTATTAAGAAGGAAGCCCATTTCTGAATGACTTAGCCAGTGTGGGTTCAAACTTCTGGAATCTGACCCTGAGCAGTTTATTTTATTACAATATTTAAACAGTAAAACTTTTGAAAGAGGTTTCCTTCTGACAATTGTCAGAACAAAGCCGAAGGTATGACTACTTTGAAACTCCCTTGCATGACCCGTCCAGCAGGCCAGGTTATTTGTGGGTCTCGAGGGGTATCACCTAAAAGGGGGTCAATGGGGGCGAGAGAGGAGGGAGACCAAGCGGCGCAAGAAAGGACAAGAGTCCGTCTGTCCAATGTCAAGGTCTCGGCTTATTGGGGCTTAGAGTGGGCTTGAATAGCCCTGCAACAATAGAATTGGGGGGAATAATAGAAGGAACATCAGGTATTTGCTGGGACTGGAACATTCTTGTCAGCCGGAACATCTAGTGGTCTTTCTTGGAACAGCGAACAGAAAAGCTCCAGACCCTTTCTCGGAACAGAAGCAGTTAGCAGTTCCGCTTGGCCAAACCGTATCTAATTACAGGTTACAGGAGGCTCACAGAGCTGGCTTTAAGCCGAAAACTTACAGGTCATTAAAAGTCTTACAAAGGTGGGCTTTAAGCCGCATAGTTTTGGGCCCACGTCCCCTTACACTTGCAAAGTATATGGCTTTGGCAAAGCATCTGTGACCTCTTCCTCAAGAGTGGGTTCTGTTGACTGAGAAGGAATGCTCAGGATAAAGGGGACTCTGGTGAGAGCTGGCTCCACAGAATAGCAGAATCACCAGTTATTAAGCAACAACCACTTCTGTCTCACAGGTGTCAATGTCTTCTGTTGAAGAAAAAAGTCTGCATGTTTAACAATTCTAGTACTATCTGTGAGCACATGGCCCTCCTGCCCTCAACACAAAAGCCTACATAGCCTTTGTTTTAATCTGCCAGGGTTGTATCAAGTTAGGAGGGTGAAGAAGTCAACCATTTTGAAAATTCACTACTTGCTACCTAGCCATGGCCCAGTCCCTAACTGTCTAACAAGCTGACTGCAGCACAAGTTGTCCTTTCATTGGTCCACTACACCCAGGGATTAAACAGCTTGCCAGCATCTTGCCAAATTTGGAGGAAATATAGTCTGTTGACTGTCCTGTCCCCAAATCTAAAAATTGGAGTTGGCAGCAAGAAATGAACAACTGACATAGCTCAAGGTCAAGGCCCTCTGTACTGCTGGAGAATTGAATAAAATACTCATTGAAGATACCAACTGAGAGAAATGCTTGTTTCAGATAACTCCAAAGCCAGAAAACTTTAAGTTCTTAAGTTCCTGAATTGTGTGTGGGTCTGGGATTTAACAGTTTTTTATCTCGCTGTTAGTGAAAGGACTCTGACCATCTCAAGTATGGCAAGCATGGCTGTGGCAAGCTTTATCCTCCCCCCACCCCATTCCTTCTGCCTTGCTAAAAACCGTTAGATCACATCCCTAAAGCTACTCCCAAGGTCTATTCCTTCATTTGGCTACTTTCTCCTTCTGAGACTGACTACCAAAGTCCAGCTATCAAAATCCCCCTTTGGTTCACCTAATTAACATGCCCAATCTAAATATATGCTAGCATCCTAGTCTATTTTGATGCAGACCTCTTTTTTCCCTTCTTAAAAACTACACCTTCAGGCTGGAGAGATGGCTCAGAGGTTAAGAGTACTGACTGTTCTTCCAGAGGTCCTGAGTTCAATTCCCAGCAACCACATGGTGGCTCACAACCATCCGTTATGAGATCTGGTGCCCTCTTCTGGTGTGCAGATATACATGGAAGCAGAATGTTGTATACATAATAGATAAAATCTTTTTTTTTTTTTTTTTAAAA